GTGACGGGGGTTGGGGGTAGGGTTGTTCGGGGAACGGTGGTGGTGGGGCGGTACGCTATCCTCCGTGTCGTCGAGAAAATCGTAAGCGAAAGGAGAGGATTGAGGGGCGTAGGGAAAACAGGACTCATCAAAGGTGACATGACGGGAGATGATGATTTTATGGGTGGTTAGGTCCAGGCAGCGAAAGCCACGCTGGGCTTCTGGGTAACCAAGAAAAATGCATCGAGCTGAGCGTGGGGCGAGTTTTTGAGGGGCAGTGGCAGAGAGGTTAGGGTAACAAAGACATCCGAAGATGTGAATAGGATGGGGGGGTGCGATAAAATAATGAGAAGTTCTGTAAACATCTTCTCATTGGCGATTACTTCGGGAACGACATATGCCTCAGCTTAAGGCTCGACCGGATTAGGTTGATGTTCCAGGAGTACCCCAACAAGAAGGGAATGTTGATTGTGGTTATTATACAATGCGATATTGTTGGGTCATCGTCAATATCTGTGCGAAATGTTCAGTACCATTATTCGAGGTAAGTTTGTTTTAGTGTTTACGAAAGTAGTGAAGTGTAGGGTAATAATTATTGAACTTTATGTCGTATGTTGTTTGATTTTGCAGGTATTTAAGTCTACTTTGCCTTATACTAGAGCCGAGTTAGAGGAAATTAGAGAGTTTTGGGTCGGGGGTTTTCTCGATGAACTTGTGTAAGTTAGTAGAGTACAATGTAGTTTTAGGATTTAGTTGTATTGTTAAAACTTTGAAGAGTACGTAGTAGTTTTACTCTTATATTGTTTAAGATATTCAAGTGGTTTAATTCATTTTGAGACATTTGATTTGATTTTTGTGAAAACATTTGTATTAGTTACTTCTGTGTTGATGGGCTGAATTTTCTGCATTGTTGTATTCCATTATATCGTTAACAAACAAAATTAATCTTGAAAATTTAAAGCCTTTTTGAATCGGTTATTTTCAATAACCGATTCAAAAGCTAATCTTTTGCATCAGTTATTACTAAAAAACCGATTCAAATGCCCCTACCCAGAAATGGCGCCATATTTGGGTAGGAGCATTTGAATCAATTATTTGTAATAACCGATTGAAAAGATTAGCTATTGAATCGATTCTAACAAATAACCGATTCAAAAGCCCCTACCCAAATATGGCGACATTTCTGGGTAGGGGCATTTGAATCAGTTTTTTAGTAATAACCGATGCAAAAAGCCAACAGTCTGAACTGGCGGTAATTTTTGTAAAGGGTTTTTGCATCGGTTTTAGCAACCGATGCAAAACGTATCGGAGTATTTGCATCGCTGGCTTTTGCATCGGTTGGAAACCGATTTAAAAGGGTCCAAATAACCGATTTAAAAAGTCATTTTTGTACTAGTGGAACCTCATGAGGAGTGCGATTGTTGAGGGTGGTGGTGGGGAGAATATTGAAGAGGTGAGCAGCCATATGTAGAGCTTCTACCCAGAAGTGAGGAGGGAGGTTAGCTTGAAAGAGAAGGGTGCGGACAATGTTGTTTAGTGTGCGGATGGTGCGTTCTGCGCGGCCATTCTGTTGGCTCGTGTAGGGGCAAGAAAAACGAAAAAGAATTCCTAGAGATTCAAAAAATATAGCAAGAGGGTTATTTCTATATTCAGTGCCATTGTCACATTGAACAGATTTTATGGTTGTGTTAGATTGATTTTTAACTAGAGCATGGAATTTTACAATGTGGGAGTAAGCATCAGATTTGTGGTGGAGGGGAAAAATCCATAAATAATGAGAAAAATCATCTAATAAAAACATGTAAAATTTAAATCCAGTTATACTAGGAACAGGAGATTGCCATAAATCAGTGTGCATTAATTGAAAAGGAAAAGTTGAAATACGACTAGAAGACTGAATAGGAAGGCGTACATGTTTGCCTAGTTGACATGCATGACATAAAAAATCTAATTTTGATTTAGAAAAACTAGCTAAAGAAGATGACACGCCATGGAGAACAGCGGGGCTGGGATGTCCAAGCCGTCGGTGCCAGGTGGATTGATCGACTCGGGCAAGGTTGAGGTGTGCGCTGGAGGGCGCTTGGGAGATAGGGTAGAGGGGTCCGTCACTATTGGATCGATGAATCACGGCTCCCGTTAATTTGTCCTTAACAGAGAAACCACAAGAGTCAAATTCAATGGTGCAATTATTGTCACGAGCAAATTGACGAACAGATATGAGATTATGGATGATGTGTGGGGAGATTAAAACATTGTTCAGGGTGAGGGGAGGGGATGTGGGAAGGGTGCCCTGACCAAAACCAGTAGTTCTTACTTTAGAACCATTGCCGACAATAATATGCGAAGGAGAATTAATGCTTGAAGTAAATACATGAGATAAAGTACCTGGGTCGGAAGTGATGTGATGGGAAGCTCCGGTATCCGTGAACCAGTGGGGTTGGGTGGGGGTGAGGGTGA